GAGTACATAAATTTGTTATTAGTAATTTTAACTAATATCGGCGTCGCATTATCCAACATTAATTGAATAAATACATATGTCAGTAATTATTTGTAGTTTGTTTAGTGTCGGCGTCACATTATCTATATTTAAAACAAATAAAATATATGTATTTTTACTCATTAGTAACTTATTGCCAACAAATAAGTTCTTTTTTTTTTGTTTTTAGTTGAATAATATAAATGAATTTAAATAAATGATATATCATATTTAGTACTGTTATAAATAGATTATCATTTAAAGAATATAATTTTGACAAAAGAAATAACCAGTCAAACTTAAGATTACTTAAATTTTTTATTAATAATTTTTACTAATGTCGGCGCCGGATTGACCAACATTAATTAAATAAATACATGTGTTAGTAGTCATTTCTAGTTTTTACTAGTGTTGGCGCTACATTATTTATATTTTGAAAAAAAAAATATATGTATCATTACTCATTAGTAATTTATTGCCAACAAATAAGATTTTTTGTTTTCAGTTGAATTCCATAGATGAATTTAAATAAATGATATTGCATATTTAGTAATGTTGTAAATAGATTATCAAAAATTTATGATTTTGAAAAAAGAAATAACCAATCAAATTTAAGATTACTTAAATTTGTTATTAATAATTTTTACTAATGTTGGCGCCGCATTATCCAACATTAATTAAATAAATACATATGTCAATAGTCATTTGTAGTTTGTATTCTAATGTTGGCGCCACATTGTCTATATTTGAAATAAATAAATATATGTATCATTATTCATTAGTAATTGATTGCCAACAAATAAGTTTTTTTTTCTTTTGAGTTGAATACAATAATTGAATTTAAATAAATGATATCTTTTATTTAGTACTGTTATAAACAGATTATCAAAATTTAAAATAATATGTTTTGACAAAAGAAATATGATTTAAAAGAATATGATTTTTTGTTATTAATAATTTTTACTAATGTCGGAGTCAGATTATCCTACATTAATTAAATAAATACATGTGTCAGTAGTCATTGTAATTTGTTTACAAATGTTGGCGCCACATTATCTATATTTAAAACAAATGAAAAATTGAATACCATAATCGAATTTAAATAAATGATATCTCATATTTAGTACTGTTATAAATAGATTATCAAAATTTAAAAGAACATGATTTTGACAAAAGAAATAACTAATCAAATTTAAGATTACTTAATTTTGTTATCAATAATTTTTATTAATGTCGGCGCCGCATTGTCCAATATTAATAAAATAAATATATTTGTCAATAGTCATTTGTAGTTTGTTTACTAATGTTGGCGCCACATTGTCTACATTTAAAACAAATAAAATATATGTATTATTTTAGTAATTTATTGCCAACAAATAAGTTTTTTTTTCTTTTCAATTGAATACCATAACTGAATTTAATAAACGATATCTCATATTTATTACTGTTATAAATAGATTACCAAAATTTTAAAGAATATGATTTTGACAAAAGAAATAACCAATCAAATTTAAGATTACTTAAATTTGTTACTAATAATTTTTACTAATGTCGGCGCCGTATTGTCCAACATTAATTAAATAAATTCATGTGTTAGTAGTCATTTATAGTTTTTACTAGTGTCGGTGCCACATTATCTATATTTAAAACAAATAAAATATATGTATCATTACTCATTAGAATTTATTGCCAATAAATAATTTTTTTCTGATGATATCTCATATTTTGTACTGTTATGATTAGATTATCAAAACTTTAAGGAATTATGATTTTGACAAAAGAAATAACTAATCAAATTTAAGATTATTAATAATTTTTACAAATGTCGGCGCCGCATTATCCAGCATTAAATTAAATAAATACATGTCCATTTATGTTACAAATACAGTTGGTGATATTTGGATAGTTTCTTCTTTCCATTAAAATTTAGTTATTGTATAAACTGTTTTCATATGATTTCTAGTGATATTTACTTTAACTTTTTAAAATCACATTTTTGTGATTTCATTGCTTTTTTTACCATTGAATTGTGTTATCAGTTATCACTCCTTTTTTATATAAAAAAATCTTAAATTGTCCAAAAAAAAGAAAAGATATAATATAATATTGTTTTCATTGTTAAGGAAAGTTGAAAATGTAGGGACATAAGAAAAAGAATGATATTTTGGTAAAACCAGACATGCATGCACAACAAGAGTAAACTTATAAATAGCCACATAAATCACACAACACTATCTCATCAAATTCTCATCTTTTTTTTTTCTCTCAAAAATCAACAGTTAAGCAAGCCCAAGGTACATAACTTTTTCACCCTTTTGTTCGATCCTTTGTTTGGTTTTTCCCGATTTATCATATCGAGCTTCTAGATCTGATGATGCTATATGTTGTAGCGTTTTTGTGTGTTGTCTCATTTAGAAATCTATGGTCGTGTATTGCTCTAAACAATTCATCAAGTAGTAATCGAAGTGATTTATCTTTGGTCTCAAATCCGTAACTTTCCAATATCATGTTTAATGATGCAGCGGAGGCAGAGAATAAGGATTAAGGGTCACATATTGATTTGTTTTGGTCCAAATTTGATTTAATTTTGTGAAATATTGGGTTAAAATTAGTATATGGTCCCAATAATTTGTGTTCAACCATCCAACCGCTCCCACTTGTACATCTATTTCCCCATTTATTATTATATAATAAGATTATATTAATTTTCTTATATCAAATTTGTTTATTATGATCCCGGTAAAATTTATTTCTAGATCCACCACTGATCATGATTTAGTCTTTAAATAGTTTTTTTTATTATAAGAATCTCAGGTTTATGTTTGGATTTGCACGTGTGAGAATTGTGTATAGTTTGAAGTTATATGATTTAATGTGATCAACTTTTTTATTTATTTATCTATACAATGTAACAGAAAAGAAGACATATAATGTCAATGTCAAGAAACAGGGCTAGAGTATCGCCATACCCGCTTCGCTCTTCTAGAAGTAACAATCAAATATCACCGGATCAGTCTCCTATTCAGACAGGAGGTGTAAGAGAATGGGAAGATGTACGATGTGTGATCTGCATGGAACCACCTCACAATGCTGTCCTTTTGCACTGTTCTTCCTCCTCCAATGGATGTCGTGCTTACATGTGTGACACGAGTGTTCAACACTCCAACTGTTTCAAGCGATACCGTAAAAACAACAAAAACTGCTTAAACCCTAAGTCTTTAAACTGCCCTCTCTGCAGAGGGGAAGTTTATGAGACAATTAATGTGAAAAGTGCAAGAAGATTCATGAATGCTAAAAAAAGGTATTGCACTAAGCAAAATTGCGACTTTTCGGGGACTTATTCTGAGCTTAAAAATCACTTGAAAGTTGAGCATCGCGTTGCCAACCAACCAAATGTTGTTGAAGTCATGAATGAAGCTGGGATTCTGCAAGGGACCGAGGTTGTGCATCATCAGCCTCCTCCTATTCGTTTAGTGATTCAGGTGGGTGATGATGGAATCGTGCAGAATATTTTTGGTTTGAACGAGTTAAGAACGCATTTGGACCAACTGGTGCACTCAACTATGTTGCAGCTCTCATGTCTAGGCTAGGTATTCGAGCATTGTCCATGGTTAATGGTGGGGCTCCTTGATGAAATATTTCTAATTTGTTAATAAAATGTCTTTTGAGGACTCAAATTATTAAACTTTTCAAGTTTTTATATTTCATTGCTTTTTGTTTTTTTGTATGGTTCCCTAATTTTATAAATTATAATCTTTAGTTTGAAATACTCGGTTTCGTATCTTCTAAATCTTCCATCTTTAAAAAAAAAATTAGTTAGCATATAAACACGTATGATTAAAACATGTGATTCTAAAAACAACATCGAAACCATTAGAATGTAATATAAATAAAATGATATAAATTTTAACATTTATAAGAAAAACAGAGAATTTTATAAATATTAACTTTTTTTTTTAAAGAAAGGTAAAATGAATGAACAATAAAAAAAAAAGAGAGTAGATAATATTCGTTGGAAGGACACAAATCTGGAACAACACTATATAACGGGGCATAATTGACAAAAATTAAAAATAGAGGGACATAATTAGCAAACAAACAAAAATAAAGGGGGTATAAAGATAAATGTTTATTTAAGAAGCAGCACTCAAATGAAGCTGTACTAACGAAGCATAAACTCCGTCTTTAATATTAATCAAAGTCTCATGTTTCCCTTTCTCAACGATAACTCCGTTTTTAACGACGGCGATTACGTCAGCATTCTTAATCGTCGATAACCGGTGAGCCACCACAATCGTAGTCCGGTTCACCATAACCCGGTCAAGCGCGTCTTGGACCACTCGCTCAGACTCTGCGTCGAGTGCACTCGTGGCTTCGTCGAGTAGTAATACCTTTGGATCCTTGACTATGGCTCTCGCTATGGCCACTCGTTGCTTTTGACCGCCTGATAACTGTATCCCTCTTTCTCCGACCATCGTATCGTAACCCTAAACCAGTTCAAAAGTAAAAATTCACGGTTAGTTTTGACCCGACCCGAGAACTCCATGGATTTATATTAGGTCTGGGCATTCAGATACCGTGTAGTTCAAGTATGTGAAATTAAGTACCGAACTAGAACCGAACAAAATTTACTTCGGTTCAGTTCGGATAGGCTTACATTTACGGGTAATAAATTACACTCGAACTAATTTTTAGTTTGGTTGTATGATAATTCGCACAGTTTCAGGTAATTCAACTTATAAAATGGAGTTTGGTTTAAATTTTTTGTTTACCTGTTGTAGACCACTGATGAATCCATGAGCATTTGATAACTCAGCAGCAGAAACAATCTCTGATTCACTTGCGTCTCCTCCTTTACCATAAGCAATGTTGGCTCTAATCGTGTCGTTAAACAATATTGGTTCTTGGCTCACGAGTCCTGTTTGTTGTCTCAACCATTTTAGTTTGAGACTCTTGATCTCTACACCGTCCAGTGTAATATCACCTGAATCTGGATCGTAAAATCTCTGTAACAAAGCAATCACCGTTGATTTCCCGCTTCCACTTTCTCCGACCAAAGCAACTGTCTGCGAGAACAGAACACAAAACAGAGAGATTTTAGCTCAAAATCTTCTGCTTTAAGAATGTAAAAAGTTTTTGAATTTGAATCCAAACCTTTCCGGCTCGAATAGTTAGACAAAGATCTTGGAAGATTTGAACATCTGGTCTTGCTGGATATGTGAAACTAACATGACGAAGCTCAATGTCTCCTTTAACATTATCCAACACTCTTCCTGTTTCAACACTTGGGTCAATCTTTGATTCTCTGTCCATTATAGCGAATATCGAAGAAGCAGCGATATCGGCTTTGCTAGAATCAGGAGATAAAGAACTCGATTGAGATATCGCAATAGCCGCCATTGTCAAAGCAAAGAAAACCTGCCATTGTAGTAAACATCAGTAAGAATCAAGAAAACCAAGAACATAAAACAATCAAAATGTGTTGTGTTTTTATATGTAAATGTATGTACCCTGAAAACAGCGTCGAACGTTGTTTTGCCATCGTCGACAAGGCGTGAACCAACGTAGAAACTAGTAGCGTAAGAAGCGAATAGTACGAAGAACGAAAACCCGAAACCAATACCACTAACTATCCCTTGACGTATCCCTGTCTTCATTGGACCTTCACATTTCTTTGAATACATTTTCATCACTTTGTCTTCTGCACAAAAGGAAGCAACGGTTCTTATACTCCCAACTGCGTCATTCGCCACCTGACTCGCTTCACCGTACATTTTCTGCCAAAATTGATTACACATATCTCAGTCAAATAATTGCATCAGCTTTTGTAATGTATATGAAAAGTAACCAGTTTTATTTACCTTTGCATCTGCACTGAAACCTTTCATGAACTTCATATATAGAAAGCCATTAAGTGCGATAAGCGGAAGCATCGCGAGGACAACGAAAGCTAATTGCCAACAAGCCAAGAACGCAATGATCAAACCAGCTAATATAGATGAAAGATTCTGAACCATTTGAGCTAAAGCATCTCCAACTAGACCACGGATCGTAGCTGCATCTGCTGAAAGTCTTGCTCCTACGGTTCCACTCGAATTTTCTGACTCATCGAACCATCCAACTTCCATGTGAACCACTTTCTCAAAACACATACTTCTTATCCTCTGCACTAGTTTACATCCAGCTATTGCGAAGAAGAAAGTTTGCGCCGGGTACGCGATGATGGATGCCAAACCAAGTACCATGAATATGATTGCCCAAAAGCTCGTATCGTCTCTTAGCTCTTTAGGTGGTTTGAAAAATGCTTTGATAACGCTCGAGAGTAGTATACCAAATATAGGAAGTATAACTCCATTTGCTGCTGCTGATATTGATCCAAGTATAAGAACCGGAATCTCTGGTTTGTTTAGAGCAGCGATTCTAAGAACTGATACTTTCTTTTGTTCGGTTTTCGGTTGTGTAGTAGCCTCTTCTTGATCTTGAGCTACGTCGTTTCCGTCGACTCCTGCTGGAAAACCAAACATGTTGAAAGAATGTCGACTGCTGTTTCCTCTTGATGATCCTCCTTTGCTTAAAGACCGGCCTAAAGATGATTTTCTCAAACTAGATTGTTTGAATGATTCAATCGATGACATTTTTCGCTCGTCCGATGGATTCTCATCGGAATTCTTCTCTTCTTGTAGACGAATGAGCTGAGAATAAGCTCCTTCGGGGTCCTTTAGTAGTTCCGTGTGAGAACCTGATCATCCAAAATTGGCTAAATCAAATCACATTTATACATATATGCAAGAATGTTCGTTATTATTTTTCTTTTGAATGAATGTAAAATTATTATTCAACCAAAAAATATTTGTACAACGAATGTTAGTAAATTTACCTTTCTCGACGATCTTTCCTTGGTGAATCACGGCGATCATATCCGCGTTTCTCACAGTACTTAGTCTATGAGCAACTACAATCGTAGTTCGGTTAACCATGATTCTATCAAGTGCTTCTTGAACCACTCTCTCGGATTCTGCATCGAGCGCGCTTGTAGCTTCGTCTAAAAGCAAGATTCTTGGATCTTTCAAGATCGCTCTAGCCACTGCGATTCTCTGTTTCTGTCCACCCGAAAGCTGAGTACCGTGTTCTCCAACCATTGTATCTAAACCTTGAGGAAGCTTATCCACAAACTTAGAAGCGTTCGCAAGCTCTGCAGCCGCTTTAATCTCTTCTATTGTCGCGCCTTCTTTACCATACGCAATGTTGTCCTTGATGCTTGAAGTGAACAAAACCGGTTCTTGACTCACAAGTCCAATCTTGCTTCTAATCCATTTTAGCTGAAACTCTTTAAGGTTGATCCCATCTATGAGAACTTCACCGGCTTGTGGATCATAAAACCTCTCAATCAAACTAACAACCGTTGATTTCCCGCTTCCGCTCTGTCCAACTAAAGCCGCGGTTGTACCAGTCGAGATAAATAGCGAAAATCCGCGGAATATTTGCTCATCCGGTCTCGCCGGATAAGCAAAGTAAACATCTTTAAGCTCAATATCTCCCTTAATGTCATCCAAAACTTTACCATCAGTACTATAAGAATCAATGTCAGGTCTTCTCTCTATTGTCTCAAACATTTTGTAAGCCGCTGCTTGTCCAGCCGCAAACGCGGTTAAACAAGGAGACGCTTGTCCTAAAGACCTAAGGAAGGAACAAAAACAAATCTCAAATTAGACATTGTTGTGAATGATGTATCAGAAAATGAAATGTAAATAGAAGGTTCTTCTTACATGGAACCAGTTAAAACAGCGATGATGATATTAAGAACTTGTCCTCCTGTGTACCCTTTATCGACGATCAATTTTCCTCCGTACCAAACCGCTAAAGCGTAGCTACAAAACACTACAAGAAAGAGTGTACCAAGTCCCAATCCTGTTGAACCACCTTCAATGACTCCTGCTTTATAAGCAGTGACAAGATGCTTATTGTAATTGCTTATAGCTTGATTCTCTCCCGTAAACGAAGCAACCTGAAAGAAAAATGTATTCAGCATTTTTGGTCTATGAAAATGTGTACATGTAAAGTAAGCCTAATTACCGTTCTTATAGAACCGATTGTTTGCTCAACTACAACCGCTGCTTTCGCGTAAGCGGTTTGTCCACGAGAAGCTGTTTTAGCAATGACGATAGCGAGACCCGCACCCGCCATTACAAGAAGTGGAATTGAAGATAACATGACTAAAGTTAGAAGCCATCCTCTTATGAAAGCTATCACAAAGCCACCAACAAATGTTGCTACAAGCTGTATTGCTTTCCCCACCTACCATAAAACCGTTGACGTTTTGAACGAAAAGTTCGAAACTTTATAATTGACAATTTCTTGTACTTTAGTTAGTTAGTTACCTTCTCTCCCATGGCGTCTTGGATTAGTACAGTGTCACCAGACATTCTTCCAACAACTTCTCCGGTATTTGTATCGATATCGAAAAAGGCGATATCTTGTCGTAATATAGTCTTTAGATACATACTCCTTATTCTAGCTGCTTGTCTCTCTCCAGCAATCATCCAACCAGCCAATTCTAAACATTTTCATAAGAAATCAAAGAATGTTAAAAAAAAAAACTCTGTTTTATCTTCTTACCAAATCTTTGTAAGAAGATCCAAGAAGAACTTACGGAGAAAAGCAGCCGCGAATGTACCGATTCCAAGCCATACAAACTTCAGAGCGACCTAAGAGTGAGTTACAAAAAAACCATTATTAGCAAAAGCTTCAAATCATAAACTTAAGACAAGAGTCATAGAAACATCATTTGGTTTTTTTTTTTTTTTACTTTGGAGACTTTGTCAGTAACATCTGTCTGATTCTGTCCAAAAGCATCAACTAGATCTCCGAACAGTATTGTCATAATAGGGAAACCAAGACCATTTCCAATAGATCCAAGAGTCCCAAGGAACATCAAGAGGTAGTCAAAGGAATCTGCAAAGCCAAATAGCTTGTAAAATGACAC